ACTTTCTGTAACCCAGTAACTGAGAGTTTTGTGGGGAGCACCACTCACCTGACCTTGGGTACATCACATCATTGCTACTTATTTGTAGAGTAGGGAAGATGTTGGCAAGGTGGGTATGTTTCAAAGACATTGATGGAGCCAATCCAGTGCTCCTGCTTTGTATGTTTATACCATGCTGACCTCACTCCCAACTTGCCCTTCCCCCTGTACCTCCGGTTAAACAGCAGGAATGTGACCAGTCAAAGGTCAGGTGAGCAGCAGTGCCCCACCACACTGTCTTCTACTGCTGTAACCCATCATTTCACAATGCAGTGACATGTAAGAAAATGTGTCCTGAGGTTGCTGTGCTAGCTTAAAGAATAGGTACATTCACACCTCCAATTCAGCTGGTGTGGTTCTGAAATGGGGTGACACACCCCACCAGGGTTATTTCCACCCTTGCATGCAGGAAGTCTCACTATGTGGGCAGCAGTTAGGTGAGAAAACCAATGTGACAAGTTCAGAAGGAGTTGGTGCTGCTTTCCAAGTGAGACGTAGGCAAGTGACAGTCAGATTTTCAAGTAAGTATGAGGGCATTTACAGATGACCTGTTCATTGGGCCTTCATCCTGATTTGTTTGCAGGGAGGTTATATTATGTTATGTCAAGCAATTGCTTTCCCACATGTCCAGGGCACTTCCCTGTCACTTTCTGTATCCCAAAATAAAATCTGATTTGGGGAGGAAGAGGGTTTGTTGTTTAAGAGGGTCAAATCCGTTTTTTATGATTTTCAATTTTATATATTTCAATAATTTTACAATCCTTTTAACATTTCGAAACTCGACTTCCTTCCCCCTCTTTCTGTGGCTCCTTAAATTTATTTTGTATATTCTCTGCATATTCCAAATATATTCATCTATTTTAAATATATACTCTTATAAAACTGCAAGTTATCGCAATAATCCTGCCAATGTTCTAATCTGTTTACCGTTTGTAAATATTCAATAAACCATTTCCATTCTTTTATAAAAAGTTTGTTACCTTGATTTCTTATTTTTCTATTAAGTTTTGCCATTTCTGATTATTCCATAAATTTTTGTACCCGTTTTTCTTTCATTGGAACTTCTTCTTTCCATTTTTAGGCAAGTAATATTCTTGCTGCTGTAGTCGCATGCATGAATAAATTTCTATACAGTTTGGGTAGTTTTGTCCCTATAATTCCCAAAAGGAAAACTTCTGGTTTTCTTACAAATGTTATTTTAAACATCTTATTTAATTCATTATATATCATTTCCCAGTAAGCTTTTTTTTAAAAAAAATCATTTTTATTCAATTTCCCACTTTAACCATCCAATCAAATCACATTAAATATTCCAAATTATACATATCAAATAATCTGAATATTCTGCCAAATTATAAATTTTTAATAGGACTTCCCTTGCTTCAAGTTCGGAGGGTTCTATCTCATACTTCTACTGCTTTTCATAGTCACTTCCAATGGTTCCTCTAATTCTTTCTGTTGTTAACCTTCCTTCTTTCACAGCCTCTGAGTTTTTCCCACAAGTGAGTTAAAACAAGCAATGATGTGTTTCTGTGTGGATTATATGTCTAGGATTCCCCTCTAAAAGTTTGCGGCATCTCCTCACACTCTGGTGTTTCTGCCAAATCAATCCAAAGGTCTTTTCGCTGCTGGCAGCCACCATCTTCACTCACTTCCGATGAAATCAAGTCTAAGCGTCTGTGATGATATTGTATCCGTGTATCAGGAAGTGATCAGCAACTCCTGGCTTGTTGCCCAGGAACATCCAAAGACAAGGGAATGTTTCTTATCATCCTCTTTTTATTCATTACTTACAGATAGAGGCTATAGAACCCAGCCTCTTGATAATGGCATTGTCCTGAGTGAATTTCCAAACACCCCTCCGTCTCTCCCACTTCCTCATTCATCATTTCTATGTGTGCTGCTTTGTGTCCTCTGTCTTTGAGCTCTTTGCTCTCCTACTTTCAAGGCTCGCTGGGTTCTTAGATAGGGGGGTCTGGAATGTTTTCTAAAGACAGTGTGTCCGTCAGCTGTTGCCCCCCTACTGTTTCCTCCTCCTCCACCTCTCCCTTTATTTCCCAACTTTCTCCCTCATCTGCCTCTGAGTTGTGATCTTCCTGAAACCCCTCTTGTAAATCTAAATTGTCTTCCTCTTCCTCCTCCCTGGAAAGGTCAGGCTGGGGAGGCAGTCTCCACCATTCCTCCTCTGCCCAGTCCCTGACACAATGTTGTCAATTTTCCTGATAAATCCTTAAATCTGTTTAATTGATATTTCCCTCCCTCTTATTTTAAGAAATTTCTATAAGTTGTCCAACCTTCTATCATATTCTTTTTATTTACCACTATGGCTTCTAATGGTGAGAGCCAATGTGGTGTTTTTGCCTCTAATAGATTTTTGTATTTATTCCATACTCTGTACAAATTTTTCCTAATTACAGTGATACCTCGGTTTACATATGCTTCAGGTTACAGACGCTTCAAGTTACAGACTCCACTAACCCAGAAAGAGTACCTCGGGTTAAGAACTTTGCTTCAGGATGAGAACAGAAATTGTGCTTCGGCAGCAGCAGGAGGTCCCATTAGCTAAAGTGGTGCTTCAGGTTAAGAACAGTTTCAGGTTAAGAATGAACCTCTGGAACGAATTAAGTACTTAACCTGAGGTACTACTGTATATTTGTAAATCCTTAACATACTTTCACCTTTTCATACCATAAATAAGGGTGCCAACTGAAAATATTATCATGACCTTCTAAGTTTAAAATATGTGAATTCTCCAATGTCATCCATTCCTTCAACCAACAAAGATGCTTCATAATATAGTCTCATATCTGGCAGGGAGAACCCTCCTTTCTCTTTTGCATCTATCAATATTTTATTCTCATTTTTTTTCCTTGCCAAATATATTTAGAAATATATTTTTGCCATGTGTTGAAACAATCTGCCTTGCCGATGACCAGAACTGATTGAAACAAAAATAACATTCTAGGTAATGCATTTATTTTTATAGTCGACTCTGCCTAATAGTGAAAGATTCATTATGTTCCAGGGTCAAATCAGGTTTAATTGTGCAACCTGAATTTGTTGGTATGTGAATGAATCCCACTTGAAAATTGCAACAAGTGTGATTGATTTTCCCTTGATGGGATCTTGATCAGTGGGTATTTCCTGTGGATATGTCTGCAGATTTCATTATTCTGTGTGGCTTTTGCACAGGGCCCGGTTGTTCCATGGACAATTGACCCTGCACCACTGCGGCTTATCTCTTCCACTGCCACCAACCAGGTTTCAGACTCAGTCAGGTTGTAACTTATTAACAAAGATTCCAGTTTATTGTGAACGCAAACAAATTTTAAATACTTTGAAACACTGTAATCCAATTCACTCTCTTTGTCTCCCCTCTGTCTCTAACTCACTCTGACTCCTATGCCTCCCACCCATAAGAACCAACCAAACTAACTGCCAAAACCCCTGTGTTGAGCCTTAAACACAGTTAGGCTCCACCCCTGGGCTTTCTTATTGGTCAGCCTATTAACCCTTTCTCTCTCCCCCACCCCAAGTACAACATCTCCATAATGAGTGGGCAAACGCCACATTCTGGCATTATTCCAGTAAAAGCTATCCACTTTGAGGACTTTTGTCAAAAAGCAGACTAAAATGCATAATATGACTAAACTTGAGCTGGATTGATATTATTTCCATGGCACAATCTATGTCCCTGGCACTTTATATGATCACGTAAGCTGGAAGATATAACTGTTGGAAATAGTTCTGGAAATAAGAAAGGGTAGAGGGAGGGAAAGAGAACTGAAGTGGACAAATGAAGTTAAACACATTAAGCTTCATTTCTCTTCATGCTGAGGTTTATGGGACTAAGATAAAGGATTCATGGAAGTGGTAGGCTATTCGGTATCCATTAAGAGGGATACTCTGAATTGCATCAAAATGTCATGGGTCTGAACTGGAAGTCTGAACTGGCTTCCAATAACCTAGGCACAATTAAATCTATGCCTAATTCTCCTAAGCTACTTCAGGCCTACATAAGATGAACCCATAATTACAGATGGAAGGACCTGCCCATTTTAGTTCTATCAGGTTCTCATTTTTCCAATCCTATATTCAGTTCTTCACATTTCTGCAGCAGTACATTTTTGTATGTAGTTTTGACTAATGTTCACATTTTTGCAAGCAATTTTTGTGTTATTTTCACTAACATATTCATTTTTATCCACATTTCCCCCTGATATATTCGTTTTTGAATACATTGGTTGGAGAACTGTATGACACAATCAGACACAATGAGAGTGCAAGCCTCTTCAAGTTTTCTTGGAGGTGAGCTCCCAGGAAAGAGTGCATAATGACAGCATTGCAAGGTAGTCTGCTGTTAAAATTGCAGCTCGCCTATGCAAAACACCTTGCGGGTTCCAACAGCAAAAAGTAAATGCTCTCACTTGGCTCAAATCCAAGAGGCATTTAAACTATTATAATCTGCTGTGGGACCTGGTGCTTTAGGGTGGATAATTAATTTAATAATAATAATAGTAATATAGAAGCATTATATATCATTTCCCAGTAAGCATTAACATTGCTACAAGACCATGTGATGTTACCATATATGAGAGAGTGCTGGAGGGGAAATAGTTAAATAGATTGCACAGACAGGACCCAGGGGGTGGAGTCAGTGGGTCTATAAAACTAGTTCTGGGAGGAGTCTGGGTTAGTTTGTTGGGAGTTGTGGGTGGGTAGTTGGTTGGTTTGAGTGGGTTGGCTGGTTGGGAAAGGCAGTTGGTAATAGAGAGACAGTTAGGGCAGTTGGTCCTTGAGTGTGGGGTGGTAGCAGAAATAGAGAGAGAAACATAAGACTAAGAAAGTAAAGAGGAACACTGTTTGGAATGCTGTAATAGTTTTGTTTTAAGTCTGAAATAAAATATACTCTCCTTTATGAATTGAAAAGCTGACTGAGACTGAAGTGATTTTACCAGGGAGGACCTGGTTGGTGGCAGCGGATTAGTGGTGTACGGGTCAATAGTTCGTGAGACGACCGGGGGCTCTGTACTAACGCCACAGACCACAATGGGCAGGGTGGTGCAGCCTTTTTTTGCTGCTTGAGGACAAAGTGGGAAACGCCACCCTGCTCTGCTGCACCACCTATCCTTCTGCCTCCACTGCCAGCATGGCCACTCCATTACCCATCTCCACTGTTCCCACTACCACCCGCATTGGTGCCGATTACTGGTGAGATCTCACAAGGTATTTTACCGTTAAAAGTATAAGCCAAACTGTGTCTTTATTTGCAAATAAGGCTCATGGGACAGAGTGAAACTTTTTTTTAAAATCATTTTTATTGATTTTCCTATAAAAACAGCCAATCAACATATCCACATCATAATCCAATTAAAAACAAGAAACTGAAATTTAAAAAGGACCAAATTTTAATCCAAATTGTAATTATTAATTTTTCCGGGCTCCCCATAGTCTGGACCTCTGAAGCATATCTCCAAATCTTTAGTCCTGCCTCTTCTCGTTGTTTTCATATTTTCCGCCTTCTGGTCTTAACGCTTTAAAATTCTCCATTCCTGGCTATGCGATTCCCAATCATGTCAAAAAATCATATGTCCTTTCATCCACCGAATACAGCTTTATTTGTAAATATATATTTTTTCAACTGTCTATTTACCAGCGCAGCTTTTCCTGACTTCATTGCAATCTTCCAATCCGGGCTGTTGCCCAAGTTTATCCTTTGAAGTTTAACGATGTAGCAACTCGCAAGTTGTTAAATCACTCCAGAACAGAGTGAAACTTAATACCCCAGTATGTCTGCTTAGGATTGCAGCTTAAGCCATTGGATTGTTAAATTTCAGAAAGAGCCATTTCTCGTTTGACTCTTTGTATTCTGGTACAATCATGGGGGGGCTCCCCCCCCCGCCCCCAGCAAATACATTGCAGTTTTGACTGTCAAGATCAGCTATAATTGAGCAGGTTCTGGAGCAGCAGAAAGCATTTCAGGTACATTCTAGTCCACAATTAAAAGCAGCTAACTTATATTATTGTCTATAAACAACTTTGTATGAAATTATTTTAGAAAGGTGTTTTGGTTTTTTGCGGAAGGGGAACAGGGTTAAATAGCATAGAATTCTGTGTAAAAATTAATGCAGCCTCTGGGATGACAGTTCAAAGTGATAAACTGTCTTCCTGTTTTTTTCTACGAGAAAAGTGAAGAAGCAACATCACTTTGGAGTAAAAATAATCATTTGTTTTTATTTATTTCATTACAGTGGATGAAATTATTGCTATCACACCAGATGTTTCAGGGCAAGAAAATGTGGCTTGGTTTACTCACGTGCTGAAAAACTGGATTGGTTTCGGATACCTGGGAGAAAATGCAAGCTACATGGGTTACATTTTCGGACTGCTATTAATGTTTTTAATGCTGTCACAGGCAATATATCTCTCCATGTTTTGCATGATGTACATTTTAAGCTTTCTTCTCTATATTTACAAGAAAATGAATAACATAGTTCAAGACACTTCTACTGAAGCATGGGTCACACCAAGAAGGCGGCTTACAAGTGCTTTGGATATAATTGGAAAGATATGGCATGGTAAGCAAGTATTTCCTTAAATAACAATAGTGACAATGTTATCAGTGCAGGTTTGTCCTTTACACCAAATGAGGCTCTGTCCCAGCAGCCTCAGTATAATAATAATAATAATAATAATAATAATAATAATAAATTTTATTTATATCCCGCCCTCCCCAGCCGAAGCCGGGCTCAGGGCGGCTAACAACAGTCAAATAGTCAAACAGTCAAATTCTAAAAACATTCTAAAAACATTTCATTATAAAATTAATTAAAATCAAATTGTTGGCAACCGATTAGGCAAAATTCTGTGCAGGTTGCCAGAGGAGGGAGTCAGGCTGCGCCCTGACCAAAGGCCTGGTGGAACAACTCTGTCTTGCAGGCCCTGCGGAAAGATGTCAGGTCCCGCAGGGCCCTAGTCTCTTGTGACAGAGCATTCCACCAGATTGGAGCCGCAGCCGAGAAGGCCCTGGCTCTAGTTGAGGCCAGCCTAACCTCTCTGAGGCCTGGGACCTTGAGGATGTTGTTATTTGCAGACCGTAGGTTTCTCTGTGGGGCATACCAGGAGAGGCGGTCCCGTAGGTACGAGGGTCCTAGGCCGTATAGGGCTTTAAAGGTTAAAACCAGCACCTTAAACCTGATCCTGTACTCCACCGGGAGCCAGTGCAGCTGGTATAGTACCGGATGAATGTGATCTCGCAGCGAAGACCCCATAAGGAGTCTCGCCACGGCATTCTGCACCCGCTGGAGTTTCTGGGTCAGTTTCAAGGGCAGCCCCACGTAGAGTGAGTTACAATAATCCAGTCTGGAGGTGACCGTCGCATGGATCACAGTGGCTAGATCAGGGCGAGAGAGATAAGGGGCCAACTGCTTAGCTTGGCGGAGATGAAAAAATGCCGCCTTTGTTATAGCTGCAATCTGCGCCTCCATAGAGAGGGAGGTATCGAAGATTACACCCAAACTCTTAACGGACGGTGCTGGCACTAATTGCACCCCCACAAGAGATGGGAGTTGCCCCCTCAATCCCATATCGTCCCGCCCCAGCCAGAGGACCTCTGTCTTCGAAGGATTTAACTTCAACCGGCTCCCACGTAACCATCCAGCCACAGCTTCCAGACATCTGGTCAGTGTGTCTGGGGCCGAGTCAGGATGGCCATCCATCAACAGATAGAGTTGGGTGTCATCAGCATACTGATGGCAACCCAGCCCACAACTCCGGACAAGCTGGGCGAGGGGGCGCATAAAGATGTTAAAAGCATTGGGGAGAGAATCGCACCCTGAGGCACTCCACACACCAAGGAGTGACGCGATGACAATTCCCCCCCAAGCGCCACCCTCTGTCCCCGACCAGAGAGAAACGAGCGCAGCCATTGAAGGACTGTGCCCTGGATCCCCACGTCGGCAAGGCGGTGGTCCAGGAGTTCGTGATCGACCATGTCAAAGGCTGCTGACAGATCAAGAAGAATCAGCAGCCCCGACCCGCCTTGATCCAGCTGCCTGCGGAGATCATCTGTTAGGGCGACCAGAGCCGTCTCGGTCCCATGCCCAGCGCGGAAGCCGGACTGGAATGGATCCAGAGCAGATGTTTCATCCAGAAACCTACCGAGCTGTTCAGCAACCACTCTCTCAATCACCTTACCCAGGAATGGAAGATTTGAGACCGGGCGGTAATTGGATAGATCTAAGGGATCTAATAAGGGACGCGGGTGGCGCTGTGGGTAAAAGCCTCAGCGCCTAGGGCTTGCTGATCGAAAGGTCGGCGGTTTGAATCCCCGCGGCGGGGTGCGCTCCCGTTGTTCGGTCCCAGCGCCTGCCAACCTAGCAGTTCGAAAGCACCCCCGGGTGCAAGTAGATAAATAGGGACCGCTTACTGGCGGGAAGGTAAACGGCGTTTCCGTGCGCGGCTCTGGCTCGCCAGAGCAGCGATGTCATGCTGGCCACGTGACCCGGAAAGTGTCTCCGGACAGCGCTGGCCCCTGGCCTCTTAAGTGAGATGGGCGCACAACCCTAGAGTCTGTCAAGACTGGCCCGTATGGGCAGGGGTACCTTTACCTTTTTTAAGGGATCTAACGATGTTTTCTTTAAGAGCGGACGCACCACCGCCTCCTTTAGTTCCCCTGGGAATATCCCGGTGCCAAGGGACAAATTGATGATATCCCCCAGGGGGGCCCGCACCTCGTCTGGACACGCTCTAATTAGCCATGACAGGCACGGGTCAAGAGGACAGGTGGTGGGCTTTCCAGCTCGGAGGAATCTGTCCACATCAGCTGGAGATATCCGGTCAAAGTGGTCCAATACTGGACCCGAGGACAGTCGAGGGGCCTCCAGTATGCCATCAGCCAGCCCACATTTTCCTACCTTCTTACTTATATCTAGTCCAGAGGGTGGCACAAGCTGCCATCTTCTTCTTTCTTAGCTCCAGCGTTACCATGGAGCATAGGGCCACTCTTGAACTCTCTGCCTTCTGCCTTAGCAGTTCAAACAGGCACCAGTAACCACTGAATGCTATAAACCACTTCACTTCAGAAAACTGAGCTTCAGGATTAAGCTCTGAAGCAAGAACATGAATATTGCCACTGTGCAACCAGGAACTCTGGGGTCAATATCATCAGCAGAAAAAGAAACCTCAGCTTGAAATGGTTTTTATAGGCCTGACAAAATGAATAAGTCCATACCTGTGATTAAATTACAATAAACGGGGGGCCAGATGAACCTTCCTGATAAGGGTATTCCACAAGTAAAGGTACTCTCTGAAGTTTCCATTTGCTTCAGCTTCTTCTGGTGGAAGGAGGCTTCCTTGACAAATACCTCAGCACACAGGCAGACTGCTGCAAGGCCGCTCAGCCCTCAACATTTTAGGGAATATGAAAGAAGGGAATCTGATTTTCAGTAAAGGTGTTATAGGTAACAAACCTGGGGCCATCACATTGAAAGAGCTGCAGGACAACATACCATATGAAAAGATGAGCCATATAATCTGATCCTAAAACTCAGTTCTTCTTAAAGCTGCACCAAAACCCCCACTTAACTTCATTTTGCAATATCATTCACATGTGGCAAAATTGGTGGACATTTTGGAGATGTGGCAGGGATTGTAGCAAAAGGCAGTGAAGAAGTGTGATGGCAGAAACATTTTTCTAGGTGGCTAGTGGCCTCTATTTTTCCTCCACAAATCCCCTGGGACAAGTTGCTAATTGTTTTCCTCCAATCATTATGTAACATGTATGACAGCAATAGTAATCTGTTGCATTTTGTGCTCTTTTCAGGTTATGAAGTTATTGGCACAGAGCATATACCAGAAGGACCAGCGGTAATTGTTTATTATCATGGAGCTTTTGTTTTGGATTATATGCTCTTTGTAGCTAGATTATATACACTGACTGGAAGACACATCTACAGTGTAGCTGATAATGGGTTGTATCTACTACCAGGTAAAATACTTTTACTTTATATTTAGAATTAGAATATTGAAAATGACTCTAATACTGTGATGCGTCATAAAGAATATGTATCTGTTGACTCTGTAATATCATTTCCGCCCTAGAAAACTTCCAAATCCAAAGTATGAGCTTCCACTGAAAGGATACAATAAAGTGTTGTTAGGGCAGACAATAGTCAACTCTAATTCGCAAATACAGTGGTACCTTGGTTGTAGAATGTAATACATTCCGGAAGACCATTCAACTTCCGAAATGTTCGACAACCAAGGTGCAATGGGCGGTTGGCAAATTCCATTGAGAAAATGGAGAAACTTACCATGGAAGCCGTTCGACTTCCAAGGCACGTTCAAAAATGGAAGCAATCACTTCCGGGTTTTTGGCGTTCAGGTTCCAAATCATTTGGCTTCCAAGATGCTCAAGAACCAAGGTTCCACTGTAGTATGTTAGACCCGGTGGTGGCTGGTAGCATTTTGACTTGGTAAGGCAACAATTTATAACTTTGCTGTTCTGGACACATACAACATTTATTTAGATACATGTCCCATTACATGTGCTGAGTATAGTTGTATAGGATTACACTGTAAGAAACGGGTGGATACATTTGCATTGTAGCATGTACCAGAGTATTACTCTCTCATACTTATATTTCAGTTAAACAATATACGTCAGAAAGATTGTCAACCATAGGGTTTTGACTTTTCAGAAAACTTGAGAGAATGGAATAAATGTCTACAAAGTCTACACATCCTAATTATCTTACTTTGAAAGACTGCCAAGCAGTCTTAATGGGGCCACATCACTGGAAACTGTATAATATCTATCTATACTATAAATAATACTGATAAAAATGTGATTTGTTCTGGGTGTATTTTTCAGGTGTCAGACCACTTCTTGAATTATTTTTTTGCCTAAAAGGCAATAAAGATGAATGTGTGAAATTTCTGAAGAAGGGCCATTTATTGGGGATTGCACCTGGTGGACTTAGAGAAGGAAACTTTAGTGATGAGAACTACAACCTGGTGTGGGGTAAACGTACAGGTTTTGCACAAGTGGCTTTACAGGCCAAAGTGGTAAGTAGACTATTTGTAGTACTAATTATACATTGCCTACAGTATTGTTGATTGCGTGCAGTCAGTTGGTATTAAAACACACTTGTACTGAAGAAATATGGCACAAATTTTACAGACATGGAGACTGAAATACAAGGTTGGCTTCCAGTGAGCAGTGAGTTTACCATTCATTTCTAAATAGTAGCAAAAAGTGTTTTTACAGCTGGGCTTTAACACATTATTGCCACTACAAAGATAAAGTGTTCAATTAAGTTGTACTGGGTTTTTTAAAAACTGAATATTTTGTTGACAGGTTTTTTTTTAAGATATACAATATGTGGTTCTTATTGCCAAAAAGTTTTTGCCAACATTTTGCAAACCGTTCAGTTTCTGAGCACTTATTTTCATGGATTTATCACTGCCAAAGCCTAAAACTGGGCTTCTTGCAGTCAAAAATATGTTGATACGACTTTTTCTGGGCCAGCAGGGCTGGGGAGGGTCTTATAATTTTAAAATTTTAAAAGTCTAGAAGCCAGTTAAAATGTTTAGTTTTTATCTTTCCTTTCCTTTTTTGAAAGCCCATCATTCCTATGTTTACACAAAATCTTCGAGAAGGATACAGAACATATGGGAAAATATGTGAGCTTCACTTTTTATGTTCCTTTCTATATATCATTGTCACCCTTAATGTAACTTCTGCAATGTACTTTATCGTCCTCATGAATTGGCAACATATCCCATTCATGAAATCTATGTATATCTGATGTATGCTGCTTCTGAGTTTCATTAGGAAGTAGAGTTTGAATAGGTTCACTCTAAAGACCACCTAGGACAATGCTTACTGTCCATCATGAATCAGTGGTAAGCTGAAGTAGCTAGCAGCTGACACACAACAACCAATGAAAAGCATTCAGGATCGCTCTTGGTCAGTGGAGATTGCCAGGGCTGACCCAAGGCACTTTGCTAGCTGAAGCAAGAGGCAAGATTATGATTCCATCCCTTTGGTCTTGTTCAGAATCCTACTGGACTGTCAGTCAAATCTTACCTGGTGTGTCCTCCACTGCACCTGAGGACATCAGAGTAGCTTATTATTATTATTTAATTTGTTGGTAGTTTTATCTTGCTCAGGGCAACCCAAAGTGACTTAGTTTAGAGGTTCCTGGGCTGGCTGCAGGTGTACACAGCTGCATCCTCCACCCCTTGTCAACGCTCATCTGCAGCTCTGCATGGTGCCTGAATTCTGCCCACTCACAGTGCTGCACTGCGACATCTGCAGGTGTTTCATGAGCAAGGTGATACATGCACAGTGTTTACTGGAGTGTATGGCCTGAGCTGGCCTGCATGTGTGCTTGCTTGCTTGCTTGCTTGCTTGCTTGCTTGCTTAGTCAGGAGCCGTTTTCAATGAGCACTGCCAGTGGCACATTGGAAGGAAGCAACCAGCCAGCCAGCTCAGCCCAACCACTAGCATTGCCATTGTTAGGGCACTGGTTCAGGAGGATGAGAATGGTGGAAGTGCAACTGCATTACTCGGCCTAACGATAGAGCTGAGCTTAGAGGTTGTATTTGCTTAGTTCTGTGTGATGTGGCCCCTAAGACACTGTGTGGCTTAGGGTGCCAGCTGAACCTAGGACCGTGGTTAAGCGATCTCCTTCTTAATCACAATCTGTAGCCAATAACAAATATTGGCTACAGGTCATGGTTAAGGAGAAGGCATATCCTCAACCCCAGACTCAGACTGCTCGCTAAGCCAAACCTTGGTTTAGCTGATGCCACACACTGAGTTAAAAGATCAAAGCTGCAGTGAGAAGCCTGCATGTTTGGGCTAAGGCGTGGTTTGGCAAAGTGGCTTATATACCATATTTTTCGCCCTATAGGACGCACCGGCCCATAGGACGCACCTAGATTTGGGGGGGGAATTATTATTTTTTTCCCCACAGGCGCGGGGCTGGGGCGGGGGAAGCCCGAGCTTCCCCCGACCCCAGCCCCAGAACGGGAGCCAGAGCGATGCCGGAGCTGCACCGGGCTCCAGAGGGTTGTGCGGAGCTGCGTGGAGCTGCGTGGAGCCTGGGAGTGCAGGCAGCTCTGCGCAACCCTCAGGAGCCCGGCGTGGCTTCGCGCCAGGCTCCCGAGGGTTGCGCAGAGCTTCCTGAAGCCTGGAGAGCGAGAGGGGTCGGTGCTCACCGACCCCTCTCGCTCTCCAGGCTTTAGCAAAAGCCTGTATTCGCCCCATAGGACGCACACACATTTCCCCTTCATTTTTGGAGGGAGAAAAGTGCGTCCTATAGGGCGAAAAATACGGTACATAAAGATTTCCCCATCTGTGGGGACTCATTTTCTCTCTCAAAATATTTTTCTCTTTCAAATGCAGCACTACTGAAGTGGCTGTATGAGAAGACTCGGATATTTATCCTTCCCATTTATGGAGGGTTTCCAGTCAAATTCCGCACATATATTGGAGAACCCATCCCATATGATCCGGATATCACTGCTAAGGAGCTGGCTGAAAAAGTAAGTTACCTCTACACTCAAAAAACTGTCCACATATATTGGTTTCTTGTGCAAACCACAATTCAGTTTTGAATCATTTTCTGCATATGAAGTTACTGCTTATATAAGACCAAAACCTGATATTCATTTTACGTATTTTATGCATGTTTGTCATTCAGCCTCTCTTTTTTATTTAAGTTATTGACACTAAGCAAAAGCTAGCTAACCCAAAGAGTTCTATAACTGACTAAATGGACCCCCAATCTGAAATTACAGAACTTTTAGCTACATTTCTGCTTAGACAGAGATTGTGCTCCTCAGGACTGCTTTACAAATAACAATTTCATATGCAAATCCATTTGCCGCTTCTGGGGAACCAGATCATTATCTTTCCCCACCCATTGGGACAACTTTCACAGGTGGGTAGGGTTACATGATGATGACAGCAGGTGACTGATAGGTGAAGAGTCTTGCCCACCTGCCAAAGTTGACTTGCAGGGTGAAGAGGAGGGGCCTGCTTCATCAGCTCATTCCCTGCAGAAAGCATGTTGGTGAGATGGCATCCAGCAGGATTGAACCCTTGCCAGTCAGCTGACATCACCCATGGGCAAACCGGAGCCCCTCATGGCCAAGATTGGCCTGCAGGCTAGAGGATCCCCACTCCTGTAGAAGAAAAATGACATTGCACTGTAAAGTATGGCAAATGCACACATATATACAGTGGTACCTTGGGTTACAGATGCTTCAGGTTACAGACGCTTCAGGTTACAGACTCCGCTAACCCAGAAATAGTACCTCGGGTTAAGAACTTAGCTTCAGGATGAGAACAGAAATCGTGCTCAGGCGACATGCCAGCAGCAGGAGGCCCCATTAGCTAAAAGTGATGCTTCAGGTTAAGAACGGTTTCAGGTTAAGAACGGATCTCCTGAATGAATTAAGTTCTTAACCCGAGGTACCACTGTATTGGGTTGCATATACACTTGTGTGTGTGCACAGCATAGTGCCCACTGAACAAACATACTTCATTACTACAGAAGTCAATTGCATTTAAGTAATACTCAGAGTCCATCAATTTTTATTGGGTCTACTCCAACTTCACTGGATACCACTGATGCTTCTGCAGATGATTTTATTTTTTGTTCTTATGCAGAAAAATTCTTACTTTTCCATTACAGTCGTACCTTGGTTGTCGAATGGAATCCATTCCAGAAGTCTGTTCAACTTCTGAAAACGTTCGACAACCAAGGTACAGCTTCCGATTGGCTGCAGGAGCTTCCTGCACTCAAGCGGAAGCCGTGGGAGCCCCATTGGATGTTTGGGTTCCAAAGAATATTCACAAACCAGAACACTCATTTCCAGGTTTGCGGCTTTTGGGAGCCAAAACATTCGAGTCGCAAGGCATCCGGGATCCAAAGTACAACTGTAATGATATTGCTACCTGTGAATACCATTCTTCCAAATGCTGAATATAATTTCATGTCTTTTCTTTTAACAGACAAAGATTGCCCTTGAAAATATTCGAAACAGATACCAAGAGAGACCAGGAAATATATTAAGAGCCCTCTTAGAACGATTTGATAAATATCACAAAGAAAACTAGTCTGTCCGATTTGGATGTTCTGGTGGATGACTTATGCCAGGAATGAGACATGGTGTGTTTGTCCCTGTTGGTTCTGCTGGACCTCTTGGTGGGTTTCCTTGGTGGTATGCTTCTGGGCAGACTTGCTGATATGGGACTTGGAGGCACTGTTTTACAGTCCCTTCCTGGAGGGACGAACCCAAAAGGTGGTGCTGGAGAACTCCTGTTTGATGCCTTAGCTGTTGGCCTGTGGGGTCACTCAAAGTTCTATTCTGTCCCCCATCCTATTTAACATGTACATGAAACCTCTGGAGGAGGTTGTCCCTTCCAACTCTACAATTCTGTTTCTCCTTTCCACCTAAGGAAGCTGTCTCAGTTCTAAACCAGTATCTGTCATCAATAATTGAGACGTCTGATTTGGCCACAGTGACAACACGCCTTAGTTACATCCCTTTTGAATTACTGCAACATGCTCTACCTGGGGCTGCCTTTGAATAGTGTTCAGAAACTTCAGCTAGCTAAAGAAAACTGCAGCCAGATTGTTGACCAGGGCTGGTTATGGGGAACAGACATTCCTTTGCTAGAACAGATCCACTGGCTGCCGCTATGTTTCCAGGTGCAACTCAAAGTGCTGGATATGAACTTTAAAGCCCTATACAGTGGACGCTCGGGTTGCGAACGTGATCCGTGCGGGATGCACGTTTGCAACCCACAGCGTTCGCAACCCGCACCGGCGCGTCTGCGCATGCGCTGGTTGCGATTTGGTGCTTCTGCGCTTGCGCAAAGCGTGATTTAGCGCTTCTGTGCACGCGTGGCCGCCGAAACCCTGAAGTAACCCGTTCCAGTACTTCCAGGTTTCGGCAGTCTGTAACCCAAAAAAACGCAACCTGAAGCTTCTGTAACCTGAGGTATGACTGTACAGCTTTAGGTCCAAGCTATCTGAAAGACTGTATTCCCTCATATGAAACTGCCTGGATTTTGAGATTTTTCAGATGCCGTTATGGGCCTTTTGTGTGTTTTAGTGGTTATTTTAATTTCTAAGCCACCTTGAGTCCTATCAGGGGGAAAAGTGGGGTATAGATAAAATATCATCATCATCATCATAGAATTGTATAGTTGGAAGGAACCCCAAGTGTCATCTAGTCCAACCCCTGCAATGCAGGAATCTCAGCTAAATCAGACATGTCAAATGGTCATCCAATTTCTGCTCTAAAATCTCCAAGGAGAGTCCACCATCTCTCATGGGAGTAAATGCATTGGGTTGTATCCCACTGAAATTAATAGAACGTTGTCATATCTATTAATTTCTACTCTTAGTAGGACTTAGCATTAGATGCAACAACCTGCTTTATCTTATAAATTAAGATTTCATTCTTTTAAAACCTATCATTATGCAACCACTGTATGTTTTGAAACTATTAAAATGTGTACTTCTCCCCAGCTTAAGGCTATTATAAATTATGCAACAGAGCACTCATGCCATGTGATTCCCTGAACTCTATCTAGTTTAGATATGAGGTGTAAAATTTTCTTGGGTAGGCAGTCATTATAATCTGTTATCAGTATCAGGCTTTACTTTGCAAATAAGCAAACAAAGCAGCTATCCATACAATTACATCACCAAATTATATGATGCAGTTGGAATTAAGGTGTGCTTGGAAGTAACATCCACCAATTTTTAAAGGAGTGGTTGTGCAGTTGAGCCAATGTCTTAATGGGTGTGTGTAGGATTGCAGCCTTGGATTTGAGCTGCAATATAATCATACATGAACCTTATAGTCCGGCCCGCCACAAGGTCTGAGGGACAGTGGACCAGCTCCCTGCTGAAAAAGTTTGCTGACCCCTGGTTTACAGGGATAAAAACAAGCAAGATTGCAATAAAATAACACAAAAAACAATCAATACAACACCATTATAAAATCACAAATTATTTTAAACCAAGAAACTCCATTTAAAAGGTGGGGAACTTAGTAGCAATAATTCATCATAAAACTGAGGACAGAGGAATAAAATCTACAGGGTAGTAGAACCAGTATAAAACCAGTGTAAAACATAGTTTAAAAGGTCTAAGAAAATAAAAAGCTATTTGTCTTGCTCAAGAAAGATATTACAGCAATTGCATGGTGTGCCTCTCTGACAATGGCATTCCACAGCCAAGGGACCAGTTCTGAACAGGCTTTCTTACATTGTTATGAGATCACTTTACCATAATTTTGATGGAACCTATGCATGGAATAGAAGGCTGAAAATCGAGTCATTGAGAGACACAGGAGCACAGGCACAGCCAGGATTTTTGTTGGGGGGGGGAAGCTTTTGTTAGGGGGGGGTGGAACCTTACATTTTTATTGACTTGTATTGATTTGAATTGATTTGATTTGTATTGATTTGAATACCCCCCCTGCCCCCCCCCCGGATACACCCATGTACACGGCAGCCTACACCATCATGACCAAAATCCAGGTGAAGCAAATACTTAATAAAATTAATAGACTCTTATTTTGGGGGGGGGGGACTTTCCTTTATGTGCTTCCTTGTACTGTTTCATTTCCTTAATAAAGAAACTAACTGCAAGTTAGCCTCGCATCTACCTCTCTGACCTGCTCTCCCTGTCAGCCCCATGATACACCTGAAAATAATGACAATCTAGTCGTGATCATATAGTGGTTAGTACTCTGCATTGTGGAAATACAGTGGTGCCTCGCAAGACGAAATTAATTCGTTCCGCAAGTCTCTTCGTCTTGCAAGTTTTTCGTCTTGCGATGCACGGTTTCCCATAGGAATGCATTGAAAATCAATTAATGCGTTCCTATGGAAACCGCCTTCAGACCAGGTCCAGGGACAGTCTGTCCCCTGACCTCTTCTGAAGGCTGGGGGGGGACAGGGGCTTTTCTTCCCACCCCCAGCATTTTAAAAAACCCCGGGACAGCGGAGGACTTCTCCGCTGTCCGGGGCGATCTTAAAATGCTGGCGGGCGGCATTTTAAAATCACCCCGGGACAGCGGAGGACTTCTCCGCTGTCCGGGGCGATTTAAAAGCCCCTGGGAAGGCACCTCTTCTGAAGGCAGGCGGGGTCCAGGACCTCTTCTGAAGGCAGGCGGGGGGCGAAAGTCTTTGCTCCCCCCCCCCGCCTGCCTTCAAAAGCCTTCCGGGACAGCGGAGAAACGCGCTGCGTTTCTCTGCTCTCCCGGGAAGGCAGGCAGGGGGGAACAAAGACTTTTGCCCCCCGCCGGCCTTCAGAAGGTGTTCCCTCCCCGCCGCCCGGCTTCGGAGCATCCTTCCGAAGCCGGGCGGCGGCGGGAGGTGTTCCCACCCCCTGCCCGGCTTTGGAGGAGCCTTCCGAAGCCCGGCGGCGGGTGGAGGTGTTCCCGCCCCACCGCCCGGCTTCGGAGGAGGTCTGAGGACAGTGGGGAAGATGCGCTGCGCTTCCCCGCTGTCCCAGAGATTTCCCTATGGGCTGTCGTCTTGCGAAGCAAGCCCATAGGGAAATTCGTTTTGCGAAGCGCCTCCAAAACGGAAAACCCTTTCGTCTAGCGGGTTTTCCATCTTGCGAGGCGTTCGTCTTGCGGGGTACCACTGTAATGACAATCAGGAAGTGCCCTGATTTTAAACCACAGAGCCTATGGTTTACCAATCAGAAGGTCGGCGGTTTGAATCCCCGCGAGAGGTGAGTTCCTATTGTTCGGTCCCTGCTCCTGCCAACCTAGCAGTTCAAAAGCATGTCAAAGTGCAAGTAGATAAATAGGTATCGCTCCGGCAGGAAGGTAAATGGTGTTTCTGTGCACTGCTCTGGTTCGCCAGAAGCGGCTTAGTCATGCTGGCCACATGACCCGGAAGCTGTCTGCGGAGTCGTCCACGACTGGATTTAACTGTCAGGGGTCCCTTTACCTTTAAGTTTCCTAAGTATTTCTATGCATGCATTTAAAAGTGAAAGCTTGATTTATTGGGTTTAACTAATCACAATTTAGTCTATCATCAAGACGTTGCTTACAAAGGTCTGCGCCAATTGATTCTGTTGACCTTTTCAATAAAGATCCTATTTTTAAAAAACAAATGAACTGCTTGAATATTCAATTGTATTTATTCTTTGACTCAATAAATCCTCAGAGTGCCAGTTTCACAACAAGCCCCATTCTCAGCATATTTGTACTGGCTAATTTAAGCACAAATTTGACTCATAGCTGTGAGGCATTTGCGAGCTTTTTTGCGGAGAAAGTCCTGTTGCCCCGCTGTGACCTCCCTGCCAATTTAGATACAGTAAAAGAACTGAAGGCCTCCTCAACTGTCTTCGGGTCCAGTATTGGACCATTTCAATCGGATACTCTCTGCTGATGTGGATAGATTCCTCCGAGCTGGCAGGCCCACCACTTGCCTCCTCAATCCGTGCCCGTCTTGGCTGATTAGGGCGTGCCCAGACGTTGTGTGGATCCCCCTGGTTGAAATTATCAATTTGTCCCTTGGCATGGGGACATTCCCAGGGGAGCTGAAGGAAGCAGTGGTGTATCCGCTCTTAAAGAAAACTTCATTAGATTCTTTAGATCTATTCAATTACCGCCCAGTTTCGAATCTTCCATATCTGGATAAGGTAATTGAGAGAGTGGTTGCTGAACAGCTTGGTAGGTTTCTGGAGGAAACATTGGCTTTAGATCCATTTCAGTCCAGTTTCCATCCTGGTTTTGGGACCGAAACGGCTCTGGTCGCCCTAACGGATGATCTCCATAGACAACTGGATCAAGGTGGGTCAGGACTGCTGATTCTCTTAGATTTGTCAGCAGCCTTTAATATGGTTGATCATGATCTTCTGGACCACCGCCTCGCCGACATGGGGATACAGGGCACAGCCCAACAGTGGCTGTGCTCTTGCAAAAAACACCATGGTGGCTGTCACCAACGAAGGCTATTGGTCAACATGAGGGACAAGTGGGTAACATATAAATAAATTCTCTGGGAGGAAGATAATCAATTACAGCTTAAACATTTTGACGAGATAAAAAAAATGGTTACAGGCTGGCTAGAGTATTACCAAAATACATGAATTATTCAAACAAGATAAAAAGAAGGGATTTGATCAAGAACTTTCAAGATTCGAGAAGGTCCTGATATACAATAACCAGAAAACTCTTATCTGAAATGTATAAAATTTAGAATAGTTGGTAAAGGATGAGGAGGTAAAACCAGCTATGGTGAAGTGGGCAGTGGACTTAGGTCATAATATACAGTTGTCAGAGTGGGGAAAATTATGGAAGGAGGACCTTAAATTCACCGCATGCTACACTATTAAGGAGAACTATATGAAGATGTTCTATAGGTGGCACTTAACACCGAGCAGACTTGCTTTAATGTATAAAAAAAATTGGACAAGTGTTGGAAATGTAAAGAAGTGGCGGGCACAACCTATCATGTTTGGTGGACATGTAAAAAGATGAAGGAATTTTAGGAGGTATTTTATAACAAATTTAAAAAGATGTTTAAAATCTTATTCTCCCAAAAGCCCGAAGCATTCCTCTTGGGGATCATTGGGAATGAAATTCCAAAAGACTTTAAGAAAGTATTTATGTATGCCACAACAGCAGCAAGTCTTGACTGCCTAGAATTGGAAAATGGAGACCTTGCCGACTAAGAGAGACTGGTTGATCATATTGATGGAGTAAGCGAAATTGGACAAGCTGACAGGTCAGATAAAACAATACAATATTTTTTTTTA